CCCATTGATTATAGTTGATAATTTAGGCACAATGACTTTCACATTGTAAGTGAATTGACCCATGAAAACTGAAAAATGGTGGATTCAGGTGGCCCATGAAATGGTTGTTATTTTTTCCTGTACTTTTACTTCAGAAGTTGCCTTGTATTTCTCTTAGAGTCATATGCTTCTCTTTACTGACTTCCCTGATGTTCTCACTGTTTTTGCAAATGCAGTATATAATGGAGGTGAAAGTAGTGTGTAGAAAACCTTAAAAACTAAGCAAAGACAGCAAACACATCTTAGTAGAATAAGACCAATGTGATGGTTGAATCTTTATGCCTCATGCTGGTAGCCAGCTCAGTTGCTGAATCTTGTTTGGGAACTTACCTCATAGGTCATTAGCAGAGTTTGCACACCAAAGTCCATAAGTATAGAAAACCTACACTACTACTCAAAGCAAACAGTGGCAGTAATGCAAATAGGAGTTCTTAATGCAAGCAGATATAACTAAAGAATCTGCCAGTTCTATCTGGGAGTGATTTACATCCTAAAACTGAGCTGGGTAAAGTGATGTGTACCTGTAGTACTAGCTACTTGGGAGGCTGAGCAGGAGGATCATTTAACTCTAGGAATTTGGGGCCCGCCTGGGCAACACAGACTGTGTCTTAAAACATGCATACACATGGGATTGGGGTTGTGGCTCAGTGGTAGAGCGCTTGCCTAGCATAGGTGAGGCACTGGGTTTGATTCTTGGCACAACATATAAATAAATAAAAGTCCATTGACAACTAAAAAAAATAAAAAAAAAACATGCACACACACACATGAACACACACACAGAGTTCTAATTTCTAATGGTGGCAATTGACATATCTGTCACCCCTGGGGCTTACTTTTAACAGATTAATATTTGCATACTAGAAGGTACTGTTAACTTTACTTAGGCTTTTAATTTAAAGGGAAATAGTCATCAATAGCAAATGGCACTATTGGTTAAATGAGCAAACCAAATAACATTTTTTTCCCCAGCAAGTTTTTTATATTAGGAAATACATGCAGTTATTTCTTTAGTAAGGGCAGAAATACTTGTGATTGAAATAAGTAATTTGGAAATAAGTGAAAATGAGCAAGTGAAATTAGTTATGCATCTGCTTTTTGCTTTTTATTTATTTAGATTCTTAAAATTTTAAACTCTTATAATTGTCAAGATTTTCAAGGATGATATGAAAGCACTGTGATTTGCTTATATACTTCCTAGATATTAATAGACATGATAAATATTGGATTTTCAGCATATGCATAATCTAGGTTAAATCATCTAGAATTGAATATCAGCATCCCTGTACATAGATCATCACTAGCTGGGCAGCCATGTGACTTGCTCAGTACTATTTGAGCTGTTCTTGTAGAAAACAATATCCCCTCATGGCTGAGGCTGCTCATTGTCAACTTGTTTTCATTCTAAMCTTCCTCTTTTAATTCTAAAGTCCAGTTGATTATTTTTAGCAAAGTATATGCCTGCACAGCTAGATAATTTCCTTGCTTGCCCTTCTTTTGACTTGGTGTGACCATGTGACCAAGAAATAACCAATGGGATATAAGCAGAAGTGATGTGCACAATTTCCACACAACTTCCAGAGAAGAAAATCATCTGTTGTCCACTTCTTTCTCTTCTTTCTTGTGAACAGGAACATGGGTGTGATGTAGATTAAGCTTTGACCATGCAGATGAAGATCAGCCCCATGGGGAAAGCAGAGCCACAAGATGGAAGGAACCTCAGTCCCTGTGGATAACCTTATGGAGCACTTGTTCTAAGATGCCCTTCTATCTCTTGACTGTCGTGGGTGAGAGAAAGAAGCTTCTGCTTTTTTTAAGCCATTATATTTGGAAGGCTTTTTAGAAGAGAGAGAGAGAGAGAGAGAGAGAGAGAGAGAGAGAGAGAGAGAGAGAACGAGCGCATAAGCAGCTTAGCTGGAGTTCTAACCAATAAAAGATATTCACTTATATTCAGTGAGAAATCCATTTTCTTTCCATATATAAGTCATCCCCAATTTTTTTTGGAACAAACTAGGATAGTAGGGTTATGTTTTGGGGATGAAGGATGTCAGTATTGCACCATGAGATTTAGAAGTTTGATCTCCTTAGTGAGAGAAGTCAGCACATTTACATTTTCTTTTCTGAACTTAATTTCATTCACATTAACAGACATTTATTGAATGCCTACTGTGTGTAAAACACTATAAGAGTCCATAGGGATACACAGAGGAAGTAGGCACAGTTTCTGCTCTCAAGGAGCTCACAATCTACCAGAGAAGACAGTACACACCACAAACAAGTACACTGGAAGACAGGATACATATAATCATAAAGGTACAAGTGAGGTTCTGTGGAGCATAGAGCTGTGAGAGAGGACTTCCTTAGGGACAGGGAAAGAAGAAGGAGGTTCTCAGGAAGACTTTTAGACAAGAGATTGAATTTGAGCATGTTGAAGTATTGGTGGAGAAAGCCTGGGAGTTGTGGGCTCAGAAATGAAGCTAGGGGAGCTTAGGAAGCACATGTAATATTCAGAACTTTCTGGAGTATGGAGTATGAGGTGCATGGGAAGAAGTGGTGAGATAGGACTCTAGGAAGGTAGTTTGAGGTTACCTAGTGAAGGGGCCTTGGATATTATCCTAGAGACCTTAACTTTTTACTGATGGGGAAAGAGTAGAGCATTTTAAGAACTGCAATTTAAAATCAACAGTAGACTTTAAGATACTGACTTTCAAACTTTAGTGTGTATTAGAATCTCATGGAGATTTTTATTAAAATAAAGATTGCTGGACTTATTTCTCAGAATTTCTGATTCAGTAGGTCTTGAGTGAGGCTCTGGACTGTGCATTTTTTATCAAATTCCCAGGTGATGTTAATGCTGCTTGTCTGGAGATAGCTCTCTGAGAACCTCACACTGCTATAGGAAAATGTTTCTGGCAGGTATATGGGGAAAGAATTGCAGGTGGAGGAGTCCAGAGGCAGATTAATCTGATAAGAAAAGGACAAAAATATTGGAGAAGAAGGTGGCATATACAAATGTCAAATTTTATAGAGGTGAATAGACAAAACATTAAGACTATTTGAATGTGGAGACCTGCTTGTGACAAAGAGAGAGAATCACGTTTACCTCATATGAATGACAAAAATTATTGTAATTCTGTTACCTGAGACTGAGGCATAAAATGGAAGCAGGAGTCTTGTGTGTGGGAAGATGATCATGCATTAGTTTAGAATGGCTGCATTTGAGGTACCAGTAAAATATTCATAGGGAGGTGCTCACCAGACATAACTCACAGGTCTGGAGTTTGAGAAGGAGAGATCAGAATTAAAGTTACACGAATCTAATAGTTAAAATAGTGGAATTTGGGATGGAATATGAAGATACAGATACAAAGCCCCAGGATGAAGGATTAGGAGACAAAGAATGAGGAGGTAAGAAGAAAATTGGGTAACTAGGAGAGCAAAATATTCTAGAAGGCAGGGGTTGAAACAGGAACGGGATGTTTCAATTGATGAAAGAATGATAGATAGATAAGGAGGGAGGGAAAGCCATGGGATTTGCCTATTGGCAAGTCACTGGTGACATTGGGATCAGATTGAGGAGAACTGGGTAGGTGCATTCAGATGGCAAAGGATGGAAAAGTCAGTGGAAGGTGAGAAGTAGAGGCATAAGTGGATTAATGATCAAAGAAACCCAGGCGAAAGAGTTAGGAGAGGGATGAAGCTGGAGATTGATGGGGATGAAGGGCCAGAGAAAGTTGATATTCATATCAAAAGACTTAAGCAAAGTTAAAAGATGACAACAAAAAAGAGTAGCAGAAGAAAAGGGTGGGATGGGAGAGGAGGGGGGAGGGAGAACAGGGGAATGGAAAGGAGCAAGATTACAGAAAAGATGAGAGGGGATAGATTTAAGGGCTAAATGGAAGTGGTAAGGAGGCAAACCCATGCCTTCTCAGTAATTCAGAAGAGTGAAGAAATGGGGGAGGCCCTGGATGAGAGGCAAGGAGCCGTACACAAGAATTTGCAGGTTTTCTGTCCTCCTGTCATCACTCTTGACCTTGTAGTGGTGAGCTCCTCCATAGGACTAGAACAGTCACTCTAGCTCAGGGGTGCTGAGGCAGCCCACTCTGTCTATGGCTTCAGGTCCACCTGCACTTTCCTGGTCCCAGGGTGCAGTCTATCGTGGAAGCCACAGAGATTCTGGGAGACAAATTTTTTTGCTCATTTCCTAATTGGTGGCCTTTGCTGTAAACAGATTTTCAACTTTTTATCTCTTTCCAAGTGCTCAATTGAGTAATTTAAATTTGGAGTAACATTCTCCAACAAAATTCTTCAAATAATATATTCTTTCATTTGATCACTGCGTTAAGCTTCTCCAAAAGTTCCCCAAACTTGACATGTACCTGAATCATGCTAGAGTGAGAGGGTGTATGGGAGGCTCACCTGGAATACATTTTTGGAATGGGAGAAGGCCTAATTTGTCTGTCTGCAATGCATTGACCAAAGTAGATTTAGATGATTTCTTATTTGCTTATGTTTCATATTCATAGTAAAGGGGTTAAGAAAGTGTGAGTTCAATCATTGCATATTCTTTTTTGGAGAACAAGAAAACCTATTTAATTATGAACCAAAGAGAACATGCCAGATGTACTATTTGTGCCTGGAAAGAGTAGGCTATGTAGTCACAGTAAATGATTTTAGCTCAGGTCTCCAAGAACAGATGACAAAATGCCACTTTCCTTTTATTCTTTGTGTATTCATGCAATTCTTGCTGGAATATGTATGCACATACAGCTATAACCTCAGATTTAATGCCACACGAGGGCAAGTTATCAGATATTTGATTTATAAGCAGTAAGAAATTCTGCAAATAAATTTATGGGGGCATTCTTTAATTGCAGGATTAACTGAAATGGCTAGAGAAAATATACAAAAAGTACTTACTATTTCACTTTATTATTATTTCTATATAATTTCTGTTTTTATATGATAATGTTTATTTGAAATGAGGTACCACAAATAAGACCAGAGGTAGAAAACAGCACACCAAATAACAAAAGAAAAAAAGAAAAAGAAACCAACCAAACAAGACCACATATACTTACAAACTCTCCTGAACCAAGTATGTTCAAGAATTAGTAAGCTGTACCCCATACCCCCGTTCACTCATGAGCTCTGGTAAAAGTCACACTTTTGGGTTTTTTACAATCTAASTATGTTCTCGGCACCTAATGAGCTTTTTAAAAGCCAGCTTAAAGTCTTCATTAAAACTCGTGTACAACAGAGGGTTGATCAGAGAATTAACATAGCCAAGCCATGTCAAAAAATCAGCCACTTCAGAGGACACAGTGTAGATGCTCAGACCTACAATCAACTCTTTGATGAAGAATGGCAGCCAAGACAAAATGAATGCACCCAAAATCAGTCCCAGGATGCGAGCTGCCTTGCGTTCTCTGGTGCTAGAGATTTGCTGGCGTTCCCCTGGGTGATCTAGATCATTGTCGAAGGGAGGGATCCTGATGGAGGTGTGGATCTTTTCAAACTCTGTGGTAGGGTCTGAGGTGGAGAAGTCAGACACGCAGAAAGTCTGTGTAAGTTTACAACTTGCAAAAGAATTCTGACTGTCTGTGCTTCTGTTGCTTAAGTGCCGGCTCGATCCCCTTTTCTGGTAAAGACTCTTGGCCGCATGGTAAATGCGGTAATAGAGAATCAGGATCAAAGTCAAGGGGATATAAAATGCCCCAAGTGTGGAGTAAATGGTGTAGATGACATGGTCATGCTGGATGGTGCACTGACTGGGGGGTGGGCTGAGTTGGCGGTGGCTCCTCCAAAACAGAGGGGGCATGGAGATGAAGATAGAGATGGTCCACACGGTGAGGATCATCAGTCCAGCCCGCTTGGCTGTCCTCTTCCTGGCATATTCAATAGCATTGGTGATGGCCCAGTACCTGTCCAGGGCAATCACACAGAGATGGAGGATGGAGCAGGTGCAGCAGGTCATGTCCACACTCAGCCACACCTCACAGACGAAGTACCCAAGCTTCCAGCTGTCCATGACAATGTACATGATGCTCAGGGGCATGACCAGCACTGCCACCAGGAGGTCTGTCACCGCCAGAGAGCAGATTAGATAGTTTGCAGGCTGATGGAGTTTCTTGGTGGTGCAGATGGCCACAATCACAGCCGAGTTCAGCAACATGGTCAGGGTGGTGATAATCACCAGAGTCAGGCAAATAAACATCTTCTCTGTGATGGTCTTGGGTCTTACAGTGGTGCTGGCTTCTGTGGTACAGTTTGTGAGGTTCATCTTCCCCGTCTTCCAATCTACACTGCGGAGAAGCTGTTAGTTATTTTCCTTCAGCTGGAGACTATGCAGCCTTGAATGTCTCATTTGTGAGGAGTCTGTAATTTCTTCAGCTATGCAGTTTATTGTGCACCGTTTGCTGTGGGTCAAGAGAAGGGCCACAGCATTTCTTCTGAATGGAAAGTTCCTGAAAAATAAAATGCTACTGGTTAATGAATGAAAAAGCCACATTTTTTCCTAGAAAACATGATAATATTTTGGATTTCATAAAATACCACACATTTTACATATAATTTTTTAATCCTCTCTTTGAGTCCATCTTCACATTATTTCTCAAAGAATGCTTTTTTACAGTTAAATCCTCAAACTCTTTCTGATGAACAGATTACAAATTGTATGTCTATTTTGCCACCTAAATTAGTTTCTTATTTATATTTACAAGTTAAAAAGGGTTTTTAATATTCAAAAGAATATATTCATATTATCAAAGACTTTAAAAATTCTAGTGCCATTTCTTTAAAGAAGAAAAATTGTACTGTTTATAATGAATAGGCTTCAAACCACATTTTAAACTTTTTGCAGCAATATTCAACTCCAACAGTACATTAGGGTCACAATGGGATTGTACACTTTTGTCTAATTCTGACATTTTAAATATCCCATTGTGCATTTCTTTGGAGAAAAGAGAGAAAAAAAGCATATATTATAACTTTGATATTTGTGGYAAATTGTTCTCAGAATAAGTAAGTCAGCTATGAAACAGCACCAATCACCAAGCTCAGTTATTGGGAGTAGGATGTTGTTCAGTGGTAAAGTGCTTGCCTAGCATGCATGAGGTCCTGRGTTCAATCTCCAGCACTACAAACAAGACAAATCAAAACAAATAACTCCCCMAAACAAAAATTCAATGCAAACCAAAAATAAACAGAAACCTGAATTCACTGTGGGGGAGGAAGGTGGGAAAAGGATGATTGGGTATAATCAATGCATACTGTTTGTACGTATGGAACTATCACACTGAACTTCATTGATATAGGGTCTTGATTTAACATCTGAACAGCCATCTTAAATGTTAACTGCCATCTTGTGAGATAAGTATCGCTTTTCTSTACTTCCTCTTACCTGAACTCTCTCCACCCCCATTAGTGACCTACTCCATGATASCATAACCCTAAGCCAATCCAGAAGGACATGACCCCTTGACTCTTGAAAGCTCTATGGTGCCATTGACCTAAGCCAATCCCATGTTATTCCCCACCTRCATAGCTCTGAGGCAAGCACCCCTGAGCCTATCCCATAGTGCCACAGCTACACCTCCAAACCCCTACCCCACAAAAGCTGAACACCCAAACATCTCGGGGGCCTCTCTCCACTCTATAGAGGGATGGCCTTTATTTGGCAGCTTAGACAAATAAACCTTTGTGTGGATCTCTGACTGGTCTCCATCCTTCATTTGTCGCTCACCCATCTCTTGCTTTCTCACTTTCCTTTCAATTGATATGTTCAATTAATATGTTAATAATAAAATTAAATAATGATCAAATAAATRAAAATACATATATGATGAGAAATTTAAAGAGTGTTTAGTTTCAGTTAACATTTATGTTCTATGTACATACTTATGTATGTACATACGTATCTATCTCCCAGAGAACTGCGATAAAGCAGGTCAGTCAGTGAGATAGTGACATTTTAAAAGAAAGCTAAGGTCAAATATAGATGTGTGCTCATGTGAACTTGGCAATCAAGATCTGCATGGGGATATTCGCAGCTGAAGGCTGCTGGATAGAAAGTTCTTCACATTCTCTGATTTGAGTCCATGGACTTGAGTCCACGGAATTAGGTTCAGGAAGATTTGAAGAAAAATGGATATTATACCAGTTTTAAGAAGGGACATTCGATGGATGTGTATCAGAATTAGCAGAAAATAATTTTGGCAAAGATGGTGGCAGGAGCAGTGAGGCATATGTTAAAACAGGGAGTGAATATGAATGGGTGTCATGAGCCATCCGTAGGCTGTGTTTTCCTTTAGGATCTCCCCCTTTGACAATGATCTAGATCACCCAGGGGAACGCCARCAAATCTCTGTGTGAGCTATGCRCATTTGAGCTTATGAGGAGACTGTCCTGATGTTGCTGCCTGATTGGGCTGTGCGACAGTGTGTATGCCTTTTCTCTCGCTCTACCTGTGAGCCCATACAGCACCTGAGATGGGTGTGGCTTTCCAAGATGTCGGTCAACCACAAGACTTCACCAAGCAAGACTCCACCCTTTGAAACTCAATCCCTTGCCTTATTTGGGTGGCATATTCTATGAATGGCTTATCCCCAATAAATAGGGGGGTTTCAGGTTTTTCTCTCTTGCCTCTAGCCTCCTTTGCTCCCCATGTCAGCATGGGAGCTGACACYTGAGGTCTTAAGAGTTGTACCTGACTCCCCAAAAAGGTATTTCTGTGTTTGTGTGGTTTTTTAGTTGCCAGCCAGCGACAAATGGGAGCCTTTGAAGGAGTAGGAACCCCAAGTCAGGAAGTAGAAATAAAAATCTCCTGGCTGTGGGTGAAGTCTATCCCTGGATAAAATTTCTCCTACTCACAGAATTCACACACAAAAAACAAAAACAYAGCAACAAAAAACCAAAACCAAGCGGGCTAGGTTGTGGCTCAGTGGTAGAGCGCTTGCGTAGCCTGGGTGAGGCACTGGGTCTTATTCTCAACATTGCATATAAATAAAGAAAATAAAGGTCCATCAGCAACTAAAAAACCAAACCAAAACAAAACAAACAAACAAAAATTAAACAGAACAAAATAAAAAAACAAACAAAAACCAAACCAAAACAACAAAACTCTCAAAACCTGTAGGAGAGGAAGATGGGAGCCATTTATCCTTCAAATATAGAAAATAAAATGAAATAACAATGATTTCACTAAAGACTATAAAGGGGACAATTGTTTTAAGGTGGTCTGTGTCTTTCTGCCGCTAAATGATATACTTTCTGCCTGTCTTTTTCATTCGCTTGTACAGGGTTTCTGTGGATGTACCTGCTTTAAGATGTTTCTTTAGTTCTGCCATGGGGTTTGCTGCACCACCAACCCCTTGCTCTTTTGAATGTCTTTTCCTACACTGTTATATTTCTCTCCTTTTCTAAACAGTTTAAACTTGTATTTGAGTCAGGCTGAAGAATTGAAGGAGGATAAGCTTTGGACTCAGACAGATCTGCTTCAGATTCCAATTGGGCCACTGATTTATCTGCTTGGGTCAACCTCTCTGCATTTTTCTCAGTGCCCCAAGTGTTTAGTTCTTCATTTTGATGTCTATCTCTTTAACAAAATGAAAGTAGTTTTTTTCTTTTTCTTTTTTTTTGTGTTTATTAATCCTTGGTTATGTTTTCTTGGGTTCTGGAGATTTGTTGGTTAAAGTAATTCTCAACAAAAAAGCTTTTTCATTAATGGTAAGGTTCAGAGTATACAGAGAGATATGGATCAGGGACAGAAAACTTTATAAATGTCAGTTTATAGTAGAAGCAATTAGGAAAGACAGTTATTTTGAAAGCAGGCCGTTAAACATATCAGAAGTAATTCATCTTTAGAGAGCTTTCAAACTCTGTTCTCTTCACTGAACTCCCTTATCTCCTAATTGTCATTTYTCTGATGACATCATTTTCTCTCTTGCTTTGTAACTATTTTTCCTTGCTCCCAGCAGGCTGTCAATTTTTATCCCCTAGATGCCCAATTTATATCTTTATCTATTTCTAATTAAATTATCACAAAATTACAGGTTGGGGATYTCCATTCTCACCTCTCCATTGTGACTTTCTGGTTTATTTTGTGCCCAGGCCTTTTGGAGTAGGAGTTAAATTTTGTGACTTTGTATTTTCAGTCACCCTCAACTCCTGCACACATCCAGCTTGCCATCTTTTATTTTTTTCCCTTTATTCCTGTATCTTGACGTTTGCTCCACAGCAACATATAGAACACGTTCTTGGGAATGGCTAGGTGAGATTAGGTCCAGGAAGACATCTGGGGGCTGATTGTAGATTGAACAGGTGTTGGAAATGGGCCCTGAGCTCTTCACTGTTGAGGAACCAGCAAAGCAGAGAGTGAAGCACAGCTACTGAGGTGAAAGAGACCGGTGAGAGGAGATTTTATTTCAAGACATGTGAAGAAAGCCAGAGTGATCAACTGTGTCCATGCTGCCAACAGTGATAGGGACTTGAGCACTGGACTGGGCAGTATGATGACCTCAGTGACCTTGACAAGAACAGCTTGGTGAACTGATGGAAATGAAAGGCTGAATGTAGTGATATCAAGAAAGAAGGGGAGGAGAGGAAGTAGAGATAGTGAATAAGAACACCTATTTCAAGAGTTTTGCTGAAAAAAGGAGTACAGAAATTAGGTCATAGCTGTGGTGGGGGATGTGGTGGTGGTTTTCTAAGATGAGAGATTGTCTTATAACTAGGCTGATTACCATTTTCTTTGCTGCCACACTTCATACCCCTCCTATTGAGACAGTGTTTTTTGGAGCAGGTGACATGTAAGAGAGGAAGAAGAAAAGCAGTAAGGGAGGAGGCTGATGAGAGTCCACCAGAGGGGTTTCGGGGGCACCAGGTAAGTAAAGATTCTTAGCCATTTAGATTATTTTGTGGACAGTGAAGATGTCAAAGATAACAGGCACACTCAGGAAATGATTCAACCTCAATTGCCTTGCGTTCCTTTTACCTTCTTAAGAAAATCACACATGATTTTATCACCACTACCACTTTCTTAGTAGGCCTTGTGATTTCTAATTAGAACAGTGCTGGCTAAATACCACCTGGAAATCTCTTAAGTCTCTTTAGTTTTTTAATACAGTGGTGTAGGAGGGGCTATGATAACACTTAACTCAAAATATGCTCTGCAGAACTGATCCAAATGCTTATGTTACTACACCAAGCATTTATTAGTCCACTGGAAGGGAAAGTTAACTGCAATAATCATAGCTAAAAACAAATACATGTGATTCAAAAATTGATGCAGGAATTTCTTGGGAATTTGTAACTTTCAGTTTCTGCTGTAAGTATAACATGGAAAACACTTGTGCAGTCCAATATTGAAGTGGTTTTTTTTTTCATTAAAATTATGAACAAAAAGAATCATTCTAAATCAAATTGATTAGTGCACACGGCTTCCTGCTAACTGGAATACTCAGAAGCC